GGTTTTGCCTTCTGTGCTATATATTATTTTATTGCCAAGTGCAGATTACGTAAATAATTTAGCAATCATTTTAATCAATTAATCAATTATTAGTTTATGAATTAATTTTTTGGCCATTCTAGTGGATACAGACCATAAAGAATATTGCTAAGGAAGGTGGATATGTGAAAGAAAGGGATCCTTCTGAAACCAATAAAAAGGTAGGCAAGACAGTTCAAGTATGTACTATATCCCCTTTTTAATGAAAGCCTTAATTATACTTTGGTTATGTGTTGTACATGTAAGCACATTTTTCTTTAATCTTTATATATGTATACCCAGTGTGTATATTTTTGAAAGTTTTTTTAAACACATTTGCAAAAGGGATTTGAATATTGTTAAAAAAACTTAAAAATTCATAAGTGATCATTATAGGCATTTGGTGTGAAGTTTGCTTTAAGTTACAACATTTCATACAAACAAATGATCATTGCCTTTTGACATAATATTTATTTTTTCAGGAGCGGGCTGAAAGCAAAAGCAGAAGTAGGTCGGCCAGTTCAGATAGTGGCGCTGCCAAGCAGCAGTCTTCCTCATCAGGGTGGGTCATTGTTGAAAAAGTTCAGGGTGCTACCAGGTATTCCAAGAGAAACATGTACTTTGTTTGGAGAGGTCTTTTGTTATTGCTTCTTTAAAAATTTTTGTGATGATTTTATTTTATTTTTCAGACATTTTTTACTGACATTTTACACTAGTATACTGTAGATCTGTTGATGATTATTTCTTTTAAATTAATTCATTTTAAATAATTGTGTTTTAGCTGTACTGTATAAGTAGTTCCTGTTCTTAGATTTCTTTGATTGGTCTCTTACAATGTAGATTGTCTATATAGCTATATAATTTTGATAATATTAAGCCTAGTTAGCTTTAGTCAGCAGTGCTTTTTCCTGTTATAAACTGCTATATACTCAGTAGCTATATAGTTTTGATAATACTATACCCAGTTAGCTTTATAGTCAGCAGTGCTTTTTCCTATTATAAACTGCTAATTAAAAATTAGTTATTGCTTATCACAATAATTAATAAAATAATATATTGTTTGTTTACAGTGATGGTAACTATGATCTTTATCATACTTATATTTAATGACTCATATTGAATGACTTGCATGCCCTATCCTTATAATTATACTGTCATGTTTCATTTGTTTTTGTGATTCATCTTTTTGTTAGTCTGAGTAGCTATAACATAACATATTATTTCGTGTAGAGATACCACACCGCCAGCCACTAAGATAGCGCCCTCTGGTGACCTCGTGCTGAACACGCCCATACAGTTTGACCTTGCTTCACCCACAGATGAGGTCAAGGACATTGGGGTCAAAGAAGGGCCTCAAAAGTAAATAACTTTCACCTTTTACATAATTTTTATGGGAATTTGGCCAAAAATATTCTGATGACATAATGGTATTCTTATATTAAGTCACTTTCACTATTATACAATAAATAGAGTGGGGATTCTGTTTTGAGCTTGTGCATTATACTGTACATGTTGTTAATATTTCCAGATCAATTTTTTGGCTATTTAAAGATCAAATGCACATGGTTTGCCTTAAGTTTATTGCTGTTTTGAAACCATTCACTTATTCCAACTTCTGTAGGAGGATTAACCCCTTTGACCAGACGTCCTTGCAGATGGTGGCAGATGACCATGGGGCTGGTGCTGCCTTCTCACAGAGTTTTCTAGTCAGATTTCTTGGTTCCATGGAGGTAAAGACAGATAGAGGTATATATATTTAATTAATTGATTAATTTAAAGTTATAAATAAGTTGACTGACAATTAATTATAAGTTGTGTTTTTGATGAGGTTTTTACATTTGGGAAGTGAAACTTAATTTTACTTAATTAAATTATTATGTATTGATATGTTATATTATTAAAGATTACTTCTTTGTATAAATGCAGTTGTATTTTTTGTATGTGTGTGTGTGTGTGTTTGCATGTGTCTGTGCATTGCTTGTATGTCCATTTGTGTTCATACATTGAAAAACAAATACATAAACAACATTATAAAATTTGTAATAAGTTTCATAAATCTTCAGGTGAACAGCTGATTTATGAAACCATGCGTCAGATCATGGCTGCCAGGGCCATTCACAACATCTTCCGCATGGCAGAGTCTCACCTTGTGGTATCCAGTAATGAAATGAAGTAAGCCTCTATTCAAGCTGTAGTTGTTACTGTTACAGTAAAATTGATTTTACTTGTATCTAGTACCCTTTCTTTCTTGAGCAATATTTTAGAAAATTAGTTGTAATTTATGTATATTTTTTATGTATATCCTGGTTTTTAACAGAATGAAGTATTGTTAGACTTAAATGAGCTCATGATGATTTTGCTCAAGCTTATTTATAGAGATACTAGTATGATAGTGAGAAATATGAAACACGTATTGAAAGAGAACTCTGCTGTAATTTAGTTAATTAGACGAAATGCATGAAGCATAAGTAAATATGTGTATTTATATTTTCAGGAACGAAGCCCTGACCGCATTTAAGTTGTACACAATGAAAAATATTATAATAATAATTGGCATAGATACCAAGTTTTTTTTTAAGTACTGCTTCAGTAGTGCATTTTATTACAATAAAGATACTTTTTAATACTTTTATGTAGTATTTTGAATTAAAATTTTCTTCTAGATTGCTAGACCCAAGCAGCGGCAGTCCCAGGTTGAAGTTTAGCCTTATGGACGTGTCTTTCTGGGCTGCACATCAGGACAATAAGAGGTGAGGTTGAGAAATTCTGTGAGCTTTCAGACACAGATGTTAACTCTTTTCAAGTTTAAGGTGTTTAATGCAAAATTTTATACATTAATTGTGTTTTTAATTTTGATGTCTTAGTTTACATTTATCAATAGCTGAAGGATTTTTTACTTAGCATGCATTGTACAGTATGTTAGCAAAAAATATTTGATGTAAAAATTACAACCCATAATTTTTATCTTTATAGTTTTTGTACAAACACCTGAACAATGATAATTTTCAGAAGGAGAAATTTGAATAAAGATTGATATTTATTTATCAGCATTCCACGTATGAAGTGACTTTATTTTGAATTCCAGGTTATTTGCATTCATCACCCGAAACCGAGGCACAACAGGGACACCCCCTTCGTTTACTTGCCATGTATTTGAGTGTGATCTCTCAGGAGAAGAGGTAAGATCACTCCTGAAATCATGTGTACAATATGGATTTTCTTTTTAAATATGAATAAATGAAATATCTTAATGCAATTATGCTATTAGATCTTCATATAATGTACCAAAATTTTTATTTTCTTGGAAGTTTCAAGACTTTTCCCTGAATCACTAAGGTATACCATATCCAATCCTGTTTTTCTCAGTTGTTGGAAGAATGGGTCTCGATAACTCGGTAGCATGTAATGTTTCTTATCACTTTATAGAGCAAACATGGGTCTTTTTTCTCTTTCTTTTGCAGATCTGCCAGGCCATTACCACGGCAACTAAAATGGCTTTTCAGGCTGTGATGGTAAGCTTCCTTGTATGGTCATCCTGAGAACTGTGCTTTTTAATTAAATATAAAAGTAAAAGTGAAAGTGTAAACTGATTTGTTGCCTTGATCAGTAAATATTGGATTTGATGCTCTAAGGTGCGAAATGGGTCCGATTTGGACACACCTTCTGATATGACCAAAATTACTGAAAATTTACTCTTTTTCCTTAATTTCTATGGTATACCCCATATAAAACTATTGAGAATATTAAAATCTATAAACCTGTTTGTGAGTTCAGAATTTTTTTGAATTTTACACTAAGAGTGGATATCAGTAGTTGTCATCACCATTTTGAGATTAGTGCAACATCATTCAGAATAGATTGTAGAAATGAAACTAAATTAATGTATTTTAGGAGAAGAGAGCAGCAGAAAAGGAACAAGCACAACGGGCAAGAGAAATGGTAAGTGAAGAAGACTTTAGGCATGCACATGCGCTCACGCACACACACACACACACACACACACACACACACACCAGATTTTGAAATGAATTCATCTTGATATAAAGTTGAGATGAAAGGAAATGTCTATTTTCTCCATTAAAATATATTGTTTTGAAATTTTATACATTGTAATTTTTTGCCTGCATAAAATTTCTTCTGCTATTGCCTGTAATATTCATGAATAGAGAAATATTAAACATTGTATAACAATGTAGACGTGAATGCTCTCTTTTATCTTAGATATGACACATAATGGGTTTATCAAAGTATCATTGATACCAGTAAACAAACTCTTGAAAAAATGAGAGAAAAATGGCATCACAAAAGAAGCAGAAGCTAGCTGTATGGTAAACGAAAAAGGAAAAAAATACAAGTGAAAGAGTTTTGCTGATCTTGCTAAGTTAAACCTTTAAATTTGGTAGTGTGAAATAGATAGATATGCGTAAGTATCTTAGACACTTGTTGAGAAATGTCCGATTGACAGAAAAGTTATGTTGCCACTGGACCATTTCAGGAATCTGTAGAAACTCTGGAAGAGTTTCAGAACCAGTGATGGGAGGTAGGAGATCTGATAGTTTTACCATGTACTTCTGTCACAGATGGATCTGCTGTTTGTTTGTTTGTTTGTTTGTTTGTTTCCTCTGTCTGCATTAACAAAAATATCTCTTATTCATCACCACAGTCTAGCAAGATCTTAACCACTACTAACTTAACCTCAACCTGAAACAAGCCAAAAATGTAATGCTGAAGCCTATTTCACAAAACATCTCAAGATTTTGGGCTTTGTAAAGACTGCGAATCTTGAGCTGACTTTGATTACTTGATTTGGTGGCGTTTTACAAACAATTGGCCTATGCTAAACATATCTGTGACAGTCACACTCAAAAGTCACTGCTTACAGAAAAAAATCATAACCAAGACAATTTGCTTTTGGGACACAGATTTGACCGAAGTCAATAGGGTTTTGAGTTGGTGTGATAGGCCTCTTAGTCAGCTAAAACTGTTAGCAGTGTTTGCAGGCATTGCAGTCCATTTTCAACTAAAGTCCTTTTGTGAAATGGGCCCCTGCTTGGTTATGAAGTAGCAATAAAAGTCACAAGTCAAGGCTTGGACAGAGGCATTTATGAGATCAGTAATAAAATTTATCTTTGGTCTAAGTATACTGTATATGTTCTCCTGTGAACAGAGCCTAACATTTTAATATTCTAATACTTTTTAGCATGTATTTCATATCCAAGGGACTTAAAATATCATTTCTTAATTGTGTGTTTTGCATTAACCATTAACCAAACTGTTGCTTCATTATAAAGATTGAAATATTTGTAGTCTAATCTTTATTACAAATATAGCAGCTTGCATTTTATATTGTTAAATTTTTTGTCAAACAGGTCAGTAGGTTTTGTTTTCTACTCCATTTGCATCTGTGTCTATTTGATCCATTTCTTTGGCAGGCTGTATTAGACCAGACATCAAGCTTGTTTAATATGTCATTGTACAACTTGCAGTGATTTTCTCTTAGTTACCAGTAGTTGTACATTTAGTACTAATTTGAAAATAATACTGTGACAATATGAACACTTTAACAATAGTTTGTTTGTTTTTTAATGTTATAGTGCCTGCAAGATAAAACTGCATGCTCAGAGCTATAGAATAGTTTTATGAATGCCATGTTATTACAGCACTTTCATATACAAAATACTAACTTATACATGTTCATAATGTTGTTTTGAATACTTTCATATGTTTTTAAAAAGCTCAGACCATCAATTTTGCTTGCTTTTCAGTTACGTTTATTGTTTTTCTACTGCAGTATTGTGCTTTTATATATATTTTTTAGCTTTTTATTCACGTTAAGCAGAAGTCTTCAAACTGAAGATACTTAACTTTTTTAATCCTAATTATTTTTAATTAAAGGAATTTTGATGTGGCTTTGCCCTTTAAATTTTAAATTGGAAAGGAAGATTTTGACCTGTTAGCAGTGGACTAAAACTATATTGTATTCATTTTTATTTTAATGTTTTCAGAAAATCCTTATGGCCAACATACAAATATTGGATGATGTGGTGGAAGCAGAGGAGTCAAGTGAAAACAGTCTGCAGCAACAAGCATCCAAACAACAACAACCAAAACAAAAACAACAAGGACATACCAAAACAAAACAAAACCAAAGTCACAAGAACTCGGGCGATGTAACTGTACCTGAATGTGATTCTAGTGTGACTGCCGGACAGACTGCACCTGACCAATTGAGCTGTGATGGGACTCCCAGTATTTTACTCGGCGTAACAGATGAAGATGAAGAGTCAGAGGCTTGAGTCAGGCTTGATACTCGCCCTTTGAATTGTGGTGGATGCTGAGTTTACTTAAATTATCGATTCATGCTGCAGCAAATTAAGTCCAATACTAGTCTCCTCTTCCCATTGGTTATGATTTGAAGTTCTTCTTTACATTGCCAGAGTTTGAGGAACTGAACCTTTTGTACACAACCCTTTGACAAAAGTTATGCTTATATAGGCTTCAGGCTTTAAAAAGGCTTGTTAAAGAGAAACAGTTATCTATATTTCAGCTTATGTAAAATATAACATTTTGAGCAGTATTGTTGCCTAATGAAAAATTATAAACAAAATAGTAAAATTAAGCCTGTTTTGATGATAACAAAAATTATGCTTTACAGGCTTCAGGCTTTAAAAGGCTTGTTTTAGAGAAACATCTGCCATATTTCAGCTCATGTAAACTTTATTGTTTTGAGCAGTATTGTGTTCCTAATGGATGTAATTTTAGAACGATAAAAAATTACACATATAATGATAAAATTAAGCTTGTTTTGATGGTGAGGCTGGGAAGATATTTGCCTTTAAGACTTTTTAGAACAGATATTAATAATGTGTAGAGGTACGTAATCCTATAAGGTAATCCCCACAGGATATCGTTGTGTAGACCAGGGTTTTCTTCACCTCAGTTCTTTTATAAAAAGTTTCAGCTTTTTGAATATTGTTTTTTGAAATTTCATGATGTTCCATTTTCATTTTCAGATTTGAATGTTACTTACTTCTTACTTGCCATGTATTGGATTCAAAGCAAAGATAGTTTGAATGTTTAAATGTGGTAATCTTGCAATAAAAGGAAGAAAGAAGAAAGTAAATGATGAGTGCAACTCATTTAGGAGGCTAAAAGTAAAAAAAAATATATATTTGTGAATGTTATGGTGATAAAATTATGGTGTCGTAACACATATTGTTAAAAGGAAATTTGAATTTGGGTGTCATTTTTGTCTTTTTGGAAATATTTCAATATACATCACTTAATTGCATGTAACGTGTAAATATGTTGTTTTATGACACTGCAGGAAAAGTGTCTTTCAAAACTTATTTTTTGTTAAACTCCCTTGTATGTACTTGTGTTAATTATATGCCTGTATTTTTTTTCCAACTTCACAGTTACTTACCCTGAGCTTCTTATACGAAGCATGTCATCATCTTCATTTTCAGACCTTCATATATACATGCATGCTTATCAGTGATCGAGGCTCTGTAGGGGGTTACAAATGAACTGCCCTTTTGCAGGGTAAGGCTTGATCTAGGTACAGTACACAAGGTTTTATGGTTAAAAGTCCGCTTAAAAAAAAAAAAAACTCCCCCCCCCCCACACACACACACACACACTATGAAATTGCTGGCCTGAGTTTTCTGGAGCTTATGCACTTGTGCAGGTATCCTGGTTTTGTTGTAGGACATGAGATTTAGTAATTACACTTGTTTAACATGTGAGATTGGCAATGGAAATTGCAACCACATGCCCCTGAAGCTCAGGTGTGACAGGTGGGCATGTATGGAAATTTCCCGCATCAGCTCAGTATGGCCACATATCATATAGACCTCACAGTGTGGTACAAAAGTGATAAAACCAGTACCTACCTGCAGATCATTAACAAATCAAAACATCTTTGAAATCTTCAGTGTATTTTTATTGATACGTATGTCAATTTCTTTCCATGTGATGTATTGTACTTAAAACTATATTGCACATGTTTCAAAAAGAAATACTAAGATTCTTTTGAATGAATCTCACTAAAAGCAAAGCAGTTAAAAAACCCATGCCTAATGGTGGATCCATAGACCAAACTTCACAACAGGCATGTGGCCTTCCCTTGGCCCTCCTTTGGTCCTCCCTTGATCCTTCTCCCTTAAAAAAAATTATGTAACAAACACATGAAAACAGAAAACAATTTGACCATATTTGTGCCCTGCAAACATGTAATATATGCTAAAAAAAACTTGTTTGCTGTTTTATATTCACCTTAGCTTTGCTTGCCCAATTTTTTAGCCTTGCCCCCCCCCCCCCCCCCCCCCCAAAAGAAAAAAATGGATCTGTCAGGGCTACAGGAACTATTATTATATATGCCTTAATTGTTCTGAAATTTCATGTTGAATCTGGACACAAGTTGTTTTTTGTTTTGATTGGAATTATTATTATTATTATTATTATTATTATTATTATTATTATTATTATTATTAATATTATTTGTTAGTGTTAAAAGATTCTAAAACTCCATATTGGTACAAATACAGTAATGTACGTCACAATATACAACAAATGTGAAACAAGTGGTACTTTTATTTTGGTTTTGGGAGAATAGGATTTCTCATATGAAATCACAGTTAAATCTCAAAATTTCTGGTGTTTCATTGGAAACAATATAGTTATGTATAATTATGATATCCCTATGTCTGAGAAATGTATGAATCACTCATATCCAAGGAGAAAAGTACTGCACATCATAATATTATATGAATGAATAATTTCCAAACAGTGTATTCTAATTTGAAAAGTGGACTCTTGTAGTGCTGAGTACAGAACTATGCTGTTATGTTAATGTGCAATAAAGCTTTATTAAAAAAAAGTCTGATATAGAATTTTTATTGTCATGGATAGAGGGGGGGGGGGGGTGAGCTGATGCATTGAGATTGTTAAAACAGGATTTACATGTACCAGGGACTTCATGTTTCTTTATTTTATTTTATTCATTTGAATAAATTATTTTTATTTATTTAATTATTTTTTATATATAATTTTTTTTTTTGCCTTTTATTTTTTAATTCTAAAATTCTTTATGCATATTGATATTTTTAACAGTATCTCTGAATTTCGGCCCACTCGTATATAGTTGATATAGTTGGTCGTTTCAGATATTATTTTTTCAAGTCTATTGTCTTATTTATGTGTTTATTTTACTTTTTTTCTTCCTTTTACCATAAATCTTACAAAGAACCAATGTTTCACAAACACCTGCCGCGAGGTGGCAGCAGTTCTGTACCCAAGAGAAGCTGTATTTTTTTTTTTTTAATATTAGCATAAGAGTTTGGCAATACTGCACTTGAAAGCACCTAATGGAATTAATTCGAAATTAAATTTTCATCAAAAATATGAAAATCTAAATGTCCATTTTTATCACTAAAAAGCTTCACAACGATCTCCCGGAAGTGTAGTCACTATTTCTGCGCATGAGCGGAACCTTCGGAAAATAAAAACATTACGGCAATCATGCGTTTTTCAAAATCGTGTTTACACTAGTTGTTTCGGGGTTAACTAATCATGGATTTTATCAAAGCTGAAATCGAAAGGAAAAAGAGACAATTGGAAAACAAAGAACTTGTGGTGAGTATTTATTTGGTCCTGTATTTTGTAAATTGAGGACGTTGAAATTTGTAGATCAACCCCCCCCTTTAAAAAATCTATCAGCTAACAAGGTAGACTAAAGCCATTGCCATTCATTTGGTTTAGCTAATCAAAAAAACATGAATTATTCAGTAGTGCATTCCATTAGAACCCTTTATCAAGGTTTATAAATCTGTTTGTTGATGCATGAGTGTGTAATAATTTTTATGTGAAAGAGTCTTACAATGATGTCATTTGATAACAAATCCCAATAAAGTCTCTACTTTGATAAATTAAATTTCATTGAAAGACTTCAGAGAAGAAATACTTCAAGCGTGGAGAACTTGCTGCCAAGGAAGCAGAAGAATACTGGAAAAAACACCAAAGGTTGCTGCCAGGCTCCAGTGGGGGAAGTGACCAGGTACAGTACAGTATATGATAGTCACAAAGACCCCATTCCCAGGGATTAGATTGATCCAACTAGATGGCCACTCGATTGTACATGTGTGTTGTGTGTTGTGCATGTGGTGCTATTCTACAGTGCTGCTAGATAAACCTGCATGTGTGTACTCTTTGGGCGCATTCCCATAGATTTAAGATCAATCTATCCCCGTGGGGAGTTACACTAGATTACTTTCAGATAATCCGACTTAAATGTCCGTCCAGCCTACTACAAGCTGTAAGGGGGTAATTAACTTTTGTGTCCGCCCGGCTGACAGCTATTTAGCGTGAACCCCCAGGGAGTTAGGTCGATCTAAAGTAGGTCGATCTAATCTATGGAAATGGGGTGTTAGATGTATAGACATAGGATTTTAGAACTGATGATGTGAATGAACAGGAAAAATGTTCATTTTATTCACATTTATATAGCATCCATGTGACAAGACCATGCATCTTTTAATTAAAACTTTGTTGAATATAGTATATTCTTGTAGCAAAATTGATCGTAACTTAAAATGGCACTTTTCAGAACAGTGACTCTGAAGGGAATGCAGGAAAGAGTGACCTGTCACCTGAAAAAGACAAGACATTCATTTTACCCAGAAAAGAGGTATGTTAAAAAAAAAAAATCAAAAACAGAAGAACAGAGAGAAGAAACTGGTTTTAGAAAAGAATTAAAGACTAAAATTTTAGTTACCCTGCAGTTCAGAAATTTGTAGTACCTAGTTAAAGTGCCCTAATATAGAGAAACTTTGGGTTATTACACTAGTCATTTCTTTCTTTTTACAAAATGAGTGCAAAGTTTCATTTATTTGAACTAATCTTAGAAAAGACAAAAAAAAAGTTTGGTCTAAAGGTAAAAGCCAAGTTTAGGCATTGAGTTCTCATGTGAATGGTATAGGATATTTCCACATTTATTGATAACACATTTCTAGCTGATTTATTGTAGAGCATGCCAAAGATTAAATTTACTTTGCATTTAATATTACGCCTAAGTGCTTGGTGAATATATTATCCTTATTGCTGAGAGGTTGTTTCACATTAAAAATAATAAGCTTATTTATGCTATTTGTTGTCGACTAGATAGATATGCTTAGCCAAATTCTTTAATAAATTGATCACTTGTGTGCTTTCAGGTAATCAGAAGACTGCGTGAGAGAGTGGAGCCAATAACGCTGTTTGGAGAGACAGAATATGAGGCATATCAAAGACTAAGAAAACTGGAAATTTTAGAACCTGATGTAAATAAGGTGGGTTCATTTAACAAAATAGATTGGCAATAAGATGAGTTGTTGACGCAGATTACAATCTGTATGTATACAGTCTTGGACAAAATTACATACAGTGACCTTGACCTTGACCTTTCAGGGTTACAAGAATGACCTCAAAGCTGCTATGGACAAAGTGGACAGTGATTACCTGCAGGAGATCCTGAAATCTGGCGGAGACGACGACAAGAAGAGTAACGATGTCAAGGTCATGCAGGTGGAGATCACAGGGGATGATTTTAAAGTAAGGGGATAAATGGCGATATGAATTGAGCAGGTATTTTTCTGAGGTCAACTGTATAGTTCCATGCAACTAGTCAGTTGAAAAGGTGCAATCTGTGCTAACATGTCAAAGTATTGCAGTTTTTTTAAGATAGCATGTTTAATTCTTCAAAAAAAGATTAATTTCCCATTATTTTTATTTTTACAATTTATCATTTATTTTTACACTAATTATATTATTTGGCTATGGCTATTTGTAAACATGGCAGTGTGATCCTAGCATTGTGTGATTCATGTTCCTGAAAATATTATTTTAAACAAGAATATTTTAGTGTAATAAAGTATTTAAAAAACTAGTAAAAAAATACCAAAGGTCCTTATGTCATCACTCATTGGCAAATCCCTTTTTATTTTGTTTTTATTTTTTTTAGAAAATGCGTGAAGAATTGGAAACATGTAATCATGAAAAAGCACAAGGAATACTGCTTGAGTATTTGCAGGTCAGTTGGTATAGGTTAAAAAGAATTATGATAAGGAAACAACTTGAAGACAAACTAAACTTGTAAGGATTTGTTGTAAAGACAATAGTATTTATATAAAACAGTCCCTTATGGATAGATGCATAGATGGGATACATCTACATTATATATGTATTTGTAATGTTATATTAATTACTGGTGATAACTTTAAAGTTTTAAATTATATAAAATGACATTTATTGAGAACAGACATTCAAACTAGGCTGACTGATTTTTCAGTACATCTTGTATCTATGGGGCACAGATCTCAATAACAGGCCAGAAGAAGAGAAACGCTCTACCAGGGGAAAACTGGCCAGCGCCACACACTCACAAACTGTGAGTTATCTGAAGCCTTTATTCCGGAAACTTAAACAAAGGGTAAGTATCGTAACTTGGGACAAAATTTTATTAGGAGTTCGTGATTTTCACCACCAAAACGGTACTATGTAGAAGATCTTAGTACCGTGAACAGCCAATAGAAGACCCTATTCAGTTATTTATAAAGCTGGTTTTATTCATATTTTTCAGATGGAACATTTCATTTTTATGTGTTTGATAAACATTAAATTCATATACATGAGAGAATTTTTCAGGCAATTACCACTTTAAATTACCAAGAAAACTCCATGTAATTTTTCATGCAAAGTGTACTGCAAGAAGCTTCACCAGGTCAATATAAACGTTAATTGTAGCATTTGTGTTTGATTTCTGCTTGTAAAATTATCATATACGATGTCATTTTCAGCGTATGCAGACAGATATCCTAGAATGTTTGATTGAAATCACAAAGTTTCTGTTGGAACGGGATTATATAAGGGTAAGCAAAGATATGACCTTTGACTGCATGTTTGTTGTGTTTGTGCACTCAGCCATCGAAGGTTAATCTAAGCCTTATAAATGTAGACTAATTGTAAAACAAACCACTTATTACATTAAGATAGTCTAAGCTGTACAACCATGTTAACCACGAAGAGTTGGAAAATTTCAAATTGGAAGTCAACTTATAGCATGGCATTGTTCAACTGTCTGATAAGCATACTATCAGATTTAATTTTTTTTAATATTAAAGTATTTGATTTCTGAATGTTATCCTATCTTGTACTCTCCAGGCCAGTGACCACTACTATGAGATGGCCATTGGAAATGCTCCCTGGCCAGTCGGAGTGACCATGGTGGGCATTCACGCCCGTACTGGACGTGAGAAGATCTCATCAAGATTTGTAGCGCATGTGTTGAACGATGAGACACAGCGAAAGTATATTCAGGTATGGAAAGAAAAGGTGGAAATCATGCCATTAATTGGAGGACTTGTTGAGTAAAATAGTTTTATGTGTTGATGTAAAGAAAAATCAAGTTCTGTTACAGCAGCTGAGGTTAAAATTTACTAGGCCAAAACAAACATTTTGCTGATGTCATCCCATTAGAGGAGACATACATAAAACAATTTTTTACAGAGCAATTTATCTAAACTCTATTTTGAAAATATCTATTTATTTATATATTGATGCAAAATTTACCAATCAGTTGTCAAGTAATGATGGCTTATGTCACAAACTGCTTTGATTTGTGATATAATAAATAGATGTGATATATCAAATTCCAGGCACTGAAGAGACTCATGACATATTGCCAGAGGTTCTTCCCGACTGACCCATCAAGAATGGTAGACTATGAAAAATCTTATCACCAATAGATACTATGGAGGCTGCAACACCTGAAGGAATGAAAAAAATTTAACAGCTTTTTTGGTGTAGTGTTCTTCAAGATTCAATGTCTTCTCCCATGGGACAGTCACCAACACTAGTGGGCTGGATTTGGTCTTAAAGTGCAATTTAAGTTCACAAGTGATCTTACACAATCTTAAACATTACAGCAGTAGTCTTAAAATGGACTGAATCTGCTTTTAAGATCAAAAATGATCTAACATCTACTTAAGTGGTCAAGCAGTTTCCTACCCTCACAATAGGGGATATTTCCCCTCACAATACAGGACACCTCTTCTCACAATAGGAGAATGTGTAAGGGGAGACAACTTAATTGGCTGTTAGACCAGAAATAGTCTTACTCATGGTTTAAGATCATGTAAGACTATTTGTGAACTTAAATTGCACTTTAAGACCAATTCAAGCCCACTAGTGCAAGGAGATGCTAGAGTTGTTTGAAAGAATCTCGGGAGAAACCTAGGAAACGATTTAAAATTCCTGTTTGTGATATCAATGTGTAATGGTGGTGTACAACACAGGGGTTCTTGCGACATGCATTTCGGGGAGAAAAAATAATGGTTGACAAGGCCTCCCTTTCCAGGAAGTGCAAGACCCCAAAGAATTAGTTGAAAAATACTACTGCCACCAGAGGGTAGCACCTGCCAGTCTCCATTATAACATTAAAAGGTGTTACAGAGACAGTACACATTAAGTTGGAAACTTGCAGGTTACCTCATGAAGAAATTAGTTATTTTTTTAATGCTACAAAAAAGAAATGAACTTTTTACACTGTAATTTTAGCAATTTCCACTTGCATCCCAAGATATATATGGTATTGAGTAAAACTTGTATTAATAACAATACTTTTTTATCCATAAATGAACTATTTGTTTGATTTCTTTTTACAGATAGTGTAGAGATATCTAGATTGACTTTATGAGATTTTTAAGCTTGGTAAGAAATGTTGACATCTGTTGCACTTCAGAAAAATCTTTAATTTGTTTTAGCATTTTAAATGCCAGATCTGGAAAGCTTAGAAGCTTTACATATTCAGACAAGAAAGACTTGCACTGGGACATTTTCTAATGTGTATTAGAGACCATTTATAAGTGACCTCTCGAGATAGCTTATTCTCATTTGTAATAGACCATGTTGTCATAAGAGTGTCCTATTCTTTTCAAAAGATTCACTGCACTTAAAAACCCATTTCAATGAAATTAGAAAAGAAAAGAAAGGACAAACTGAAAAAAGTAAGGAGGACACTTGTACCAGATAGCTTAATTTAGGAAAATACCAATTTATTATACAGTAAAAACATTTCACTATAAATTGTACAGTACACAAGTTAAAATTTACAAAACAAAGGTAATAAAATTTTCAAATAAAACGATGGGAAAGTAAAATTGGAAAAAAATACCTTTGTGTCAATTAATTCAAACTAAATTAGTTTTTACCTGAACATGAAGTGCAGGCAGCTTATATCTCAATCTGTTTACCTTGACTAAAAATCTGGACGGAAATCTTAGTTTGAAACTTTTTGACGTAAATCCTCGTTTGCCATACATAAACAATATGGTTGGTAACAAATAACTATTTAAGTACATAATACTCTGAGAAAACTTGACACCTGCTTAAAGGAGAGGACAAAAAATGCAATTCACAAAAAGTTTTGGATGGAATACAAGTTTAGAGAAGCTTCCAATACAAGTTGCTACTGATAAATGAGATTCCTCTCAACAAAATTCTTAAGATACACAACAAGGGGTTTTCCAGACACATCTATATCACATAATCATGGAATTTGGCAAAAAGAAAAAAATTAATTACATAAATAAAATAAAGATTCCTCTGCATCATGGAAACGGCCTCTTGGATAACACTACATCACAGCAAAATTTTTCTTTATAAATGATTGCACTGCTTTCTAGCAGCATTTAGAATACTTGTGAACAAATAATTTGACTTAGTGGAGCCAGTTGTGATATGTGTTCCACTATTGCATTCAACAGAGAAGCATAAAACCAAGAGGTTTGTAGAATTTATAAATATCCTGTGTCAGGAACTGTACAAATGACAGTTCAATAAAGTCTAAGACTTACAACAATGAAATCAGACATACAATATCAATTCCATTTATTCTGGAACTCAAACAATAAAATATATATGTATCCATTTTTCTTTTATTCATATATACATCTGTGCAACTCTCCCAGCAGCCTTGACTCCTATTTTTTGCACTTTGTTAAGTTAAAGGCAACTTTCTCAAAGTCTGACTGGTTTTCATTTTCAATGATGTCTTTTATGTAGTGACCTTCTTCCTTAATCTTCTACAGGTTTTCGACAGAAAGGACAATGGCCTTTTTGTAGTACTAGCAGCTCATAGTCATCTGTGTGGAACAACTGAAAAACAAAAAGTTTTTAAAGTTGAATTTCGGTCAAGCCTGTTCTAAGGTACAAAGTTATAGATATCACCTTAGTGTCCTTATAAAATTATTCATGTAGGCACTTCAAGGCAGAGGATGCTTGGCTGTTAAACATCTTTATTGAGAGAGAGGTGGGTGAGAGAATAAGAGAAAGCAGAGGAGATTGGTATTCAAAACCTTTTCATTACCACTCAGTGCACACGAGGTCAACATTAATCTGACAACACATAAAATAGCACCTGGAGAGTTTTTTTTTTTTTTTTAGACATGTCTGCTACAAATATAAGACTGGTTTAATCAGTAAATGAAGAAATTGCCACACAAAATGAACAATTTTGGTGATGGACATGTCAGGAAACCAAAGTTTCACACCACAAACATACCTTATTACAAGATGAACACTTGGTAATGGACACGTCTGGCATCAGAGATCTAAAGAACTGGTAGCGGAGAGGTTTTGGCCACTCCAGGACCACCACGTCCCTCTTGGACATGGACTGAAGGACGCTCTTGTTGACTACCACTGGTACAAACTCCTGTCCTCCTTGCTGAAATGACAATAATATCATTTAGATAGAATAAGAAAAACAGAGAGGCACAGCCAACTCCTGCATAGGTACCTTCGCAGGTACAACCCCCCCCCTCCCCGATAAGATGTCTAGTACCTTGAAATAATTTTTTCTTACAAGGTGACGGCACCAAATTAGTATTTCCTGGCTACCACCATTTTTGTCTACGTCTTTTGCAAACTTCTGTTATATGCTACATACCTCAAATGACATCAACCTCTGGGTAAAAGGATCTTCATCATCATCTTCAGGATCATCGTCCAGTCGCAAGGCCTCGGAATCTTACATGTGAGTTAAAGTTTTACTGGTGATGCAAATTACAACTTATTAAAACATAAGGGTGCTTAATAATATCTTTGTAACTAGAGGATCAGAGAGGCGATACCGCCTCCGAATATTGTACCACCAGCTGGAGCAAGCGCATTCGTATAGACCCCCACATACACAAAATAAGGGACAGAGCCACCAGTCTTATGCTTGACAAACTATAAAAATGCAATCAACAAGAATTTTCAAAATACGCAAAAAATATATATAACTTAAAATGGTACAATCAAAGTTAAGTTCATCATAAGGTAGGTCAAAGGTCAATTTCAAGGTCACAGTAAATTGCCAGTATATGACTTCCTATTCAACTTCAATAGTAACTATGGACCTATCTCTGCCAGGTTTGGAGTTAAAAGAGAAAGAAATTAGCAGAGTTCAGTTCATGATTATAAGTAGGTCAAAGGTCAATTT